CCATTTTATGTTACTTTCACATATGTTTTTCAAAGTCACCAGTATCTTTTTTTTTTTTAATCTATATTAAAATCTGCTTTGAAATGTTGGATTAAATGTGGATTTGTGAAAATGTGCATTCATTTTAAAATAAAGCAAACCCAAAGGATTGTTCATATTCTGACCCACCTCTTAGCTTGGAAGTGTAGATCAGGTCAGCTCTGATTGGAATTCACAGCAAATGCATTCTTCAAGCATCCTTACCAGCTACTGAATTTTGTTTTAATTTCAGACTAAATTCCTGTCAGGAATTGCTCTTCAGCCTCACCCTGCTTTGGAATGCTAACTCTCCCGAGGCCTCAAAGTTCCCTTAGTTCTTTTTCTCCAGCCTTTTAGCAATTCCTGCAAAGGGAAGCAGAAAGACATTCATGGCAAGGAGCAACTAAAGCTGTAGCTCCTTGAACCTGTTCTCGTCTTCTGCTCTTTCTAGTGCTTGGGCTTTTCTGACCTCAAGTCTATCTTGTCTCACTCTGCTACATTGGCCCCATCCCTCCTTGACCACTGGTCTACCACTGTGGCCTATAATTCAACCAACGTACTGCTATTGCCTGTGTTTTGATACTCTATAGCCACAGTATGAAGGTTGTCTAATCTGGAGAAATTAAGCAGATGAAAGTTTTGATTGTTGAAAGTAGGGTTTCTTTTCCATAATATGCTCCTGGGTGATTCAAAGTAAAAAAAATAACTTCATATGTTAGGAGCAGTTGCTGTTACAGAGGGTAGAAATGTTGATCATTTGAAGGCCAACACTAGATGTTCATCCTATCAAACATCACTGTCATCTCTTGTTCCTGGGAGTCAACAGAAGGCAGATGACAAAGGAGCAAATGCAATTCAATATATAATTACTGTTTAAGATGTTAGTCCCAAAATCTGTGAAAACAAACCTTTTTTAATGGAAAATGTTCAGAATCTTTAGCTATGAAAATGTATGGGTTGATTCCCCATCCTTCCCCATGACTTTATCCTAGTTTACACATCTATATCCTCTGGATTATTTTTCTGAATTCCTGTATCACTCACTCATGACTGATACCCCAACTTTATTTAAAATATTAGGTTGCACCCAAAAGTGGTATTGTCTTTAAAGGAAAGTGGTTCAGTTTGCAAAGAATGAGGAACATTATTTTGTCTAATATCAATACTCGTTGCAATATTCTGTGATGAATCCCACTTTGTTCCCAACTTTCAAGTGCAGCTTTCTGGGAGCAGACTGGAAGGATAATTACTTTTAAAAGCTTATATAATTGACATGATTGTATGAACTGCTATGTAGTTGTACAATATTATTCAAAGAAAACATGGGAAAATGTGAAAAATGTAAGTTAAACATGGTCTGAATCAGCATCGTACCCAAATCTTTCCCTAAACTCTTCTTTCTTTTTAACTTATTCTTGAGGTCCTATAGATGTTATTTCAGATTTATTTGGGAGATGTTTTTGAGTTTACTTGATTGCTATCAGATGGTAAAGAGTGCAAATGGGGTTGCCCTTCTCTTTTTATATATCTTCCCATCACTCAAGCTTCTCTGACTAACTCCTACTTCCTAATCTGGAAAACCCCACACAATTCTGTTGGAGGAATTCTCTTGGCATTTAACTGACATGTGAGAAGTCAGGGAGGCTGCAGAGTACTGGAGAAAGGATGAAATAAAAGGAAAATAAAAACAAGATATTCATCACCCATCCACAGCCCATTTGTAATAAAGCTAAATTGAGTAAGTTCTATCTTAACATATGAGCTTTACTTGATGTTAAAAAAAAAAAAAGAGAGGAATCCCATTTCTTTTCCAACAAGGTGAATAAGAATGCCCCAAAGAAAAACACAAAAGAAAATGTGGACATTGCTTCTCACACTGCTAGCAACAAAAATGAATTGAACCTAAATCACCTATATTTTTTTTCTTAGTTAAACAAATGCTTAACTATTTTCAAGGCCTAAGTCCTGGAAAACCATTCCAACAGTAGGATTTTCTCTTAAAAATCATTTGGTGTCCGTTTCCTGATAAGCATCTTCACCCACCAAGGCCCTTTACAACTATCAGCACATTTCTTAAAACACGCCTCATTTCAGCTTAAGCCCTTTGATGATGTTTGCTAAAATACAGAAGGCGCTTCTCACATGACACCGGATATTACAGTGTTTGATTGCCACGTCTGTGGGCTTAAGGCATTTTCTAATGAAAGAGTTATGATTTCAAAAATCCCCCAAATTATAAATAGACTCTCTCGGCTTCTGTTTTGCCTTTGAAGGGGATGAAATTTCCTTGCTTATACAAACTGCCAGGAGTTGCTGCTACAGTACTTTGTCAGACTCAACTAGCCTTTATCTGTATTCCTCTGGAAACGCCCAATGCCGGGCCCACATATTTGGAAGAAAGTCTTGTGGACCAGAACAGGAGTGCCCAAGATTGCATTGGAATAAACTGTATCCTCCAACTGGGAATATCAGGTCAAATTTCAGTTCTCAGGGACACCACACAGGGATGCACAGCACATTTCAACCTCCAACAATTTCCAGATTATTTTGAAAGTAGTTATAGACCAATCTGTTTACGATTGACTGTGGGATCCTTCCAGATATTGGTGTCTGACTTTTTTTGAAGATAAGGACATTTACTCTTTTCTAGGCATCCGTGCTTTACCAGTTCTCCAGGCTCTTTAAACCGATCTTTAAAAACACAGGTCAATTTAAACCAGAAAAGGAAATCAGTTTTGTGTGTTCTACCAGCTACGTGTGTTGCTAGTTCTAGCAGAATTGGGTGCCTTATGTGGCCATACTTTTTATGGTTTTTTCCTAACTCCATTCCAGTTCCATGGCCAACCACTGGCTACTTCCAGGCATTGCTGGTCATGAGGACAGAACTAGACTCACTGCCAGCACTGTCATTCCATTGGAACACCCACTGAAGAAAGAGCCGTCTTGACGTTGATTGCTTCCTCTTGCTTCATCCCAAACTCGCCTTCTGCTCTTGTGACTGGTCGGCCAACCTATTTGAAGTTCAGCACGTTTTCAGCTGCATGGGAAAACAAAACGGAGGGAATCCACCAATCACATTCCTTAGGTTGTCCTATATCAAAACAAAAAAAGACACCGCCAACCTTGTTACTATGGCAGAAAAGGGCTCAGCAATTGGGGCAGCAAATTTTATGCTAGCCTACTTTTCTGTCAGCTCAAGGATTGGTGGACAGGAGTTTAATGAGGTCATTTGGCTCTGCCCAGAGTCTTGCATCACTACAACTTCATGCCTCTTGGAAAGATCTGCAACTTGCTTTCAGCAAGCATCACCCACATCTTCTTGGGTGAGAGAACACTAGCAGACCTGCCCCCCCCCCCCCGAATTACTTCTTTATCTTTTTGATATGGTCAGATGACTAAATCAATATAGTTTCTGTTCTGTTTTATTTCTGTATCTTTCTTGACTTATTTTAATTTGGATGTTCTCTACAGCATTGCCAAGTTCGTTATTTTGGATTTCTGAGCAGGAATAAATATTTTAAACATGCAGTACAGCTCTTCCTCCCTATTGCTTCTGTTCCTTTTAATCATTCTCTACAGATTATTTTTAATTTTGTGTGTTATATGCATATATATATGCATATGCTTACAGAAAAGAGCAGGATTTCCCCTTGTTTCAGGGGAAAGAGAGATCCTTTTTATGCCTGAAATTGTGGAAAAATAGGCCCTTATCATGCCTGCTTAGTAGTAAACTCCATTGAATTCAATGAAACTTACTCTCAAGTAACGAGACATGGGGTTATGCCCCAACACCAGCATATGAGCAGAGTCGTTTCAGAAGATGATAGACATTCTGTTGAAAATTCAAAAGGAAGACAAATGAAGAAGCAGCCAAATGATTGATTTATGTTGAAAGATTAAAAGAACGAAATATGTATAGCTAAAGGGAGGACATGATCACTATCTACATGCATTGTGAAGGAATACGCTGCAGCAAACGAGGACATTGGTGAAGATGGCTCGAGACTGTGTGGGAAAAGAACTATGAAATAAATTAGCTTTGTCAAATAAGGTGTCTTACAGAATTGTTGAACAGCAACACAGCTTCATAATTAATGGCTATCTGGGGGTAATGGAAGTTACAGTCTGTCCAATGCATTTGGGAGGCACCAAGTCAGGGAAAAGTGATAAATCATTATTACTATGGGAAAAATTGATGGGTGCATATTAAAAAAGGTTTAACAAGGAAGATGAAAGTTGAAACATTGTCACTGCTTATCACATAGATATCCAATCCAGTTCTTCTCCTGAATAGCTTATGATGGAATATTTCCCAAGTTGGTTTTAAAACAAATATGTAGGGTTGGCTTGAACTGAAAACATTGTATTTTATTTATTTATCATATTTATATAGCCACCCATCTCACACAGAGTGATATTTCCCTTTGTCCTTTCTACCCAATAAGCCTTTTTAGTGAGCTGGGATTTTAGCACAGATTCAAAATTTGGGAGAAATGCTACACTAGAGTTACAAAAATCTGCAGAAGGAAGGACTTGGAAAAAAGGCATAAAAATGTGAGCACTAATTCCAGTTATTTCTCAGTTTAAAAAAAAACCAACACTCTCCCCAAAAGTATCCTTCAAATTTGGAAAGCAAAACATCTAATAATGCCCAATTGATCATTTTCATTTGATTTTTTTTCCAAACATTTTTTCTTCTTACAGTCAGCTAAATGTAAAAGGAATCTCCCTCAGCCCTAGGTGATTGAGACTAAAAGAGGAGAATGAAATAAGAAATATCTGCAGCCTGTTTGAGAGAGGCAATAGTGGGATGGACCATTTTGCTAGCCAGAAATGGATGTATGTATAACCCAACCCAACTAGAAGGTAATATGTGTTCCTTATGTATTCTTGCCCAATGTATTTTTGCAAAGTAATTTGTGCAATGAGGTGTGGATCTGCTGTTTACAGTAGATACAATGATAACAAAAATAAAAAAGCTGAGCACACCCAAATCCTTGGACACTATACAACTATCCTTGGAAGTGAATGGATATGCCTCTGAAGGCAAAGGATCAATGTGCATGCCTTGTTTCCCACAGAAATCAAATTTGAGTGATTATAATATGCATATCCTTAGAGGAGGAGTTAGTGGACAACAGCAAAACAAATTCTTCTGAAGTCTCTCCAAGGTAAGCTTAAAATCATCATACCATAGTATTAGCTTAACCACTGTCTCATAGTAGAATTCAGACCAGAATCATTCCAATTAATAGTGTTGTTACTATAGGATTTAAGACAGTCATTCATCCATATACAACTCTATTTTAAAATTTCCTCCATCCATTCTCAATTGGTTTCCACTGGGTGAAACAAGTCCTGTAAACTGGGGCATCTCTAGATGGAAGACACAACTTGTCTTCCTCTCTCCTCATGGTATGCAAACAATACTGTAGTACATCTTCTGTGGCTTCAGACATATATGCTTCTCTGTTTTGTTATTCTAAGTTAACGATGTTCAATATTGTGGTGGTATGTAGCAGCTTGGCTGAAAAATGTACTGAGTGGCAATCCAATTGTAATGGCGAATGGGCACACAGTTTATTGTGTGATCCGCATGAAGGTGTATCTGAGCACAAATCTCCGGCTCTCTAGAGCTGCCTTATCTGGGTGCAGACCTCCACACAACCACGAGATAGTAGCAAAGAGATACATAAAATTCTATCTTTGCTATCATATAGACTTTGTCCAGGGTTTTGCAGCCTAGATAGGGACTCTGTTCTCCCTTTGGTGAGCAGGGCCAAATGCCATGAGCCCCTGTGCCTTTGGGCCTCCTTACCAACAGTTCTGCTGAATGCACCGTTGAAGAGGGCCTTTAGAAAAGGGGTTTGTGCCTGTTCCTCCAAAGCAGGAATTCAATTTAACAAGGCATGTGAACTAGATCTATAAAACAAGCCTCTGTTTTGCAAAATGTGCTGATCAGATACATGGAGAATCAGAGAAAGCTGTTTATCCTTCGTTATACGCAATCAGAATGGGAGGATTAGAGGTGTTTGATAGAAGCTAAAACCATAGAACTGCAGATTTATTACATTCTGCAGCAAAGTCTACCTGGGGGGGAGAAAAAAATCAACAAATCACTTTCCCTCTAAGAATTAAAGACACATTCTTTATGTGTCAGAAAGACAATAGTGGAAAATGCATGACAGGACTCATAAGATATGGACAGCTGCCAGTATATTGAACAGCTGTGCAATATGTAAGAATGGTTGCAGCTGTATTTAAACTAGAATGAATACACACACACACACACTTTTTTACTCGTCAAAAAGGAAACATTAGCAACTGTTTACTTTTTTGAACAACATTTTCCTTCTGTTTCCAGTATCCCCAAGCTAGTCTGGCTAGTCCTCCTGGCTTTACAACCTTGAGACAACCCCAACGTTACATAAGCTGTCAGGGACCCAGGGGAGAGGAGTCTGCTTTAATGAAGATCCAGAAAGTTTTCAGCAGCGATGCAGGTTCTTACCATGGGGGGGGGGGAATCTGCTAAAGCTAAAATATACATTATGCACAGGTTTCTCTGTGCAGAATCCTTTTCTTCTCTTTGTTAAATTCATGAATGCCATGTTCCATTCATGAGGATGGGAGGGTTTCACAAAGCTGGGAAGGGAAGAGGACCGAGGATCACAGAAGGCAAGTGACATGGGACATGTTGCTAATGACCTCATTGCCACTCATAAATGGTACGTTTATTGACAGCAGGCCACAAGCAGTGTTTATATCTGTGTTCTACCTAGACATTGAGGAAGGAGCTGGTAGTAAGAACTGGTCTAGGATATGCCACTGAAACTATGAATCTGAAACAATATGAGATCAGTCACCATGCTGTATCTCCTGGTTTGCTCTTCCTTCCCATCTAGAGTTCAGTAGAACATTTGACACAATGCCACAGCCATGCCCCGCGTGTTCAGTGATGTCAGATGAAGTGAGCCAGTTCATGCCATAATGACATTGAGCTATTGCAAGAAGTATGGCATTGCAAGGAGCAGAATTAGGCATGGCAGAAGTTTCATTTAAATCAGAAATAAATAATCCATCATTTGAAGTCTGCTTGGGAGATGCATGAGGTCATGCTATCAAAACTCTGAGGCAAAGCATCAAACAGCGGCAGCATAATTTCATGCCTGTTTTTAGTGGGAAACAAGGAAAAGGATGGAGAAATGGATGTGTAAAGTCTCGGGTGAGTGTTGGATGGCTAGTCAGTTGGTGGGGTGGGGAATAAAACTTCCCCAAAATAAACCCTAAAAATGTCTCTAAATCAGAGTGTCCACTGGGCATGGTAAAAAAGTCAAAATGGCAGCTTCATTGGGTGTGCAACACACAGAAAAGCTAAGTGGAGTTATGGCCACCATCTACATTTTTTCAGCCACACCCAACAGACACCCCTATTCCTCAATATTCTGACTGGGGAGAAGAGGGGGAGATTAAAAGAAAGTGAAGGTGGCATGGGCTCTGGATCATCTAACTTGGGTTATCTATTCCAAGGCTTGGAAGCCCATCTTCTCTTCTGTCATCACTGAAGTTCATGGGGTAAGAGTTTGTTTCTGGTGTTAAGCCTTGTGTAACAAGGAAAACCTTGTCAACACTTCATAAATTAATAAATAACTGGATGATCTATTAATGGGATACTGGCTTGGGTTTTTAACTCTTTTTCTCCCTTCTGTCTGGAGAGTCTGAACTGCATCTTTTGCCCTTGTTTTTTTAGCAGAAGATACCATAAAAGGTTAAGTTTCCAGCAAACTGTAATTCCAGAAAACCTAAACTTCAGTGCCAATATAACAAGATTAATACCTTTTTGACAGAATTTAATCATAAGGTTTTATAATATTTAATTTTGTTCTTCAAATGGCTCACAGTGGGGAAACTTTCTTCTTTCTACTTTACTCTTTTTTTAAAAAAATCCTAAACATTAATGCTGTAAAACAGTTTAATTTATTTTTGTTGGCACGAAGCATATGGACTGATGCAGGCTCACCAGAAATGGAATGTGATAGAATCTCAAAGGGGTTAATGCCAACCTCAGATTAATTTGGACATTTCAATCTTTTCTGACAGCTCCAGTGTTCACAGTTTGGCCTAAAACTATAGATCTAAATTCAATACTTTCCTCTAAAGGCCACACTTAGGCAACTGTTTCATGCAGTCCTGGATGGATAGCAATGTAGAAAAACCATACACATTCATTTGTTGAATGTATATTGCATTCCATCAGACAGTTTTTAATATTTGTAACCATGCTTTGAGAAAAAGGAGGTAATGCTAAGAGAAGCAGTGGGTTCAGCACATCATACTACAGGATATTGTTTGCCTAACCATGTGAATCTGACTAGGTTCACATCATGAAACCATCTACCATGGTTGACCTACCACAGTTCCTCTGGGTTCACTACAATATGCTAAGCCAAAAACCAAGCAAAATTCAATATGCTTCAATGTGATGGATGAATGCCATGCAATATGCTTCTGCATTAGTCTCATCTGGAGTACTGGATCGCATTCTGGATGCTTGAAACAAATACAGATCAATTGCTGTGGGAACAATGTTTGAACATTAAAGAACATCAGAGGTAGAAAAAGAACAAAGCAATACGTCGTGAACAGGTTTCCACAAAATGTTCCTAATGGTAAGAACAATTCAACAATGGAACTAATGATCCAAGCAAGTGGTGGTCTTCTCTTCACAGGGTGTGCCAAGCTGTGGCTGGACAACCATCAGTTGAGAACATTTTGATTATTGCACTGAACAGGGAGCTGGACTTGATAGGCAAAACGGTGTCTTCCAGCTCTATGATTTTATGATCAGTTTACCTGAAATATTGTTCATGGCCTGAACAAGGAGGAGCTCAGAGCACTACTTGGACACATATCACGATTCTGATCAGGCTGTTTGACTTACTGAGAAAGTGCCAAATATTTATCGGTGCTGATGTCAATATATCCTTAGAAAAGCCATGTGATTAAGTCTTATTTTTCTTGATAGGAATACCAGGGTGAAGAAAGAGATTGATCAAGCATTTGAAGTTGTGAAGGACTTAAAGAACAAAACTTCTTGATGAGATAATTTGGTGAGTGGGTAGCAGTTTGTTTCCAGCTAGGAATTGCATTGTTCTCATCCCAGTGATTTTACTGATTTTATTGCTTCATCAGCTCTGAAACCCAAAGTATACAGGAGCTCTCCCAGGTGTAGAAAACCTTTTCCTATTACATGTATATGTGTCAGATATAATACAAGGATACAAAAAATTAAAAGATTGATCTTATGCTACAGGAAAGAAGAGCAGGATATAATCCATTTCCCCCTATCTTTTTATATTACCGTTCACTGAAACTATTTTGAAATCTCTAAAAATGGTCCTTAAAAATCTGACAGTAAGGAAGGATTGTTTTTATCTCCTTTATAGATGTGGGCTAATTAATGTTTTCCTTTAGCAATGCTGAATAATGCAAACTTCTACTGTAATAGTTTTTGTCCTCTTAATCACTGTTTTTGTTTATTTCAAAATCTTTAAGATCATTTTAATGTCTCCTTCTGCCTTCATCTTTTCGGCATTTTAAGCATCTGATTATATGTGTGCTGGAAATGCACAGTTTTCTGAAATAAGTGTTTACTGGGATTACTTGAGCCCAGAGTTGACTTTAACATGTGAAAACAAGAAAGCTTTTAGCAACGATTCACTGGGTAGAAGGAAGAAAGAAGATGTAACATTTTTATTATTATTTTGAGAAGTAAATTTTGGTGTAAGTCAACATTCTGAAGTGTTGCCACAGCTGAACATAGGCACTGATCCAGCAGAGTCCTTAAGGCAAGGAGATCCATGGTACCCTTTCTAACCTTTCACCATGTGAGTTGAGAATTCTGGGAATTAAAGCCAACATGTCTGATGGACACAAGGTTGAGTTATGCTGGTATAAGTCTTAATTTAATATGAAGGAATAACAGCTCCAACACTCCAACAAATTGATTATGATTATGGGCCATCAAGTTGGTGTTGAGTCTTATTGACCACATAAATAGAACATTAGTACTCCAAAAGGTCCTCAGCTCTTCCTCAGTAGCATGTTGATTGCCATCCAACCTGAAGGCCCCAACATCCAGCACTATATTGTCAATCATTTTATATTTCCTATCCATGTGGTTTTCTTGGTAAAAATACAGGAGTGGTTTACTATTGCCTTCTCCTGTGCAGTATGAATTGATGCCTTTGCCATTGTCACCTAAGTGGTCATCTGCCTCCAGCATCTTCCTATATTGCTGCTGCCCAATATAGGTGACTGCTTGCTTTAGTTGGGATGGTCTTCACACCTTGGGTGACCCTGATGGGAGTATATACTCTTGGCATAAACTCCTGCTGTTCTTCACTCAGCCCTCCCAGGAACACCCCACCACCACCACCACAATGAGGCAGCACAGCAGGACTTGGGGGTCTCCAAGCACTACTACTCAGATATTTCTGAAAACTTCAGTCTTTGGGTCCATCCTATCTGGAAACATCTGGACTGATTCACAAATTATTTAAACCATTCTACTATTCATAATCAATTTGAAACTAACACTGGGACCCTGAATATACCAGCAAAGCAATTCTGGGCATTGATTGGAATGCTCTAATGTTAGAGTGCTCCAAGAACCATACATTCCTCCCAAACCATAGTTTGGCAGAGCAGAAATGATGTTTGTGATTCTTGAGTATCATCTTGGAGACCATTTTTATTGTTTTCACTTCTCTATGATGGTAACCAGTGCTTGAGGATCAACTTAGATCAGCTCAAGGAATGACAGCAGAAGTCTGAGAAAGCTCTGGATCTTCAGACCAGTTGCTGCTACAAAGGTATGAAGATTGCAGCCTTTTGCCTTTTTCTTGCATGTTTCCAATTCAGTTCAGGAAAATTCCAGTTCAGGAAGAGGACAATCATCAAGCAATAAGGTCCCCTATCAATACTGCATCAAACACTCTCTTGTAAGCATCACGAAGGGCCAGCAATTGTATAAATTCAGGGCTAGTGCCCTACCCCCCAAAAAAGTCCTACTTTTTTTTACAATTTTTATTCAATCTGAGGGAAAACAATTTGCTTCTGAATTTTCTTTCAAAGAAGAAAAGAATTTTCAGTGAAGTCCTCGTAGATGGAATACGGTATTCTTGCACTTATATACTTACAATTTGCCAAGGGATATGTCTGAAAATCCTTTCCTTTAGGATACAAACATCTTTCTGGTGGTCTTCAGTGTTCCTGGCTTCCTACTATTCCATTCAATCCTAAAGCAAAACATAATGAGAGAACTCTGATCTATTCTGTATGGAAAATATGGACAATAATGAGGCTTCAGAATGATAGAAACATGTGTAATATATCTATTAGCAGGAGCACCCTCAACCAGCTCCAACCACAAAAATTATCCAGGGTTATTCAAAGTGATGGTCACTGGCTTCAAACTGACAGGTGCAACTGGGCAATCAGTGCCCCACCTCTCTTTACATGCATGCAGGCTTCAGTCACCAGGTCATGCCCACCACTGAAGTCAGTGACCATCGCTGAAATGCCCATTAAGTCAGCTCATAAGTACATTCAAGAAAAATGTGTAAAATATTCCTAGTATCAAAGCAGAGAATAAACTGATGAACTGTTATGCAGGGAAAGTACTGTATTTGAGATTTTGATAGATTTATGTGGCACTCATCTTTTGTAGCAGAAATTGTGCCACTTACAAAGAAGCTGTGATACTAAGAGACAATCCCATTTTATCCTCTTGCAGACTCACAGCTGGGGCAATCACCTGGTTCCCCCCAGTGGTTCCTAGAGCGGAGGTAAATCCTGCACATAAATTATGATATCATCTTCTCAATCCCTCTGACTCAATTTCCATATCTATACAATGAAAGTAAAATATGGGAGAGGTGAAGCTTGTTTTACAGATACTCATTAATTTTGTAAATGTACTTTAAAGACCCACAGATGCTCATTCTAATGTTATCAGGGAGGGTTCCTCATTTGTGTTCCTCATCTTGAACCAAGAGATCACAGGGTGAATGTTCATATAGTATCTTTAAAAAAAAAAAAGGCAGAAGATCATCTATGAATTCCAAGAAGTAGAAACAGGAGATTAGATGGATGGATGGATGGATGGATGGATGGATGGATGGATGGATGGATGGATGGATGGATGGATGGATGGATGGATGGTTTGGCTGGTAATGTTGGGCCACTCATCACTTCTCACCCAACATTCATCACAAATCTATGGGAATTAAATACAAAGACAGGAGATTAGATGGATGGATGGATGGATGGATGGATGGATGGATGGATGGATGGATGGATGGATGGATGGTTTGGCTGGTAATGTTGGGCCACTCATCACTTCTCACCCAACATTCATCACAAATCTATGGGAATTAAATACAAAGATGACCATGTATTTAAGAGGACACCTCTTTAGTTTCTTGGAGGAAAGGTGGGATATAACTGAGAAAGAAAAGAAGGTTACTACTAGCATCAAGATCAAAGATAATACTGTTGACTTTAAAGCAGGGTGGCATTCTACAGGTACTACTTCATCTCTGCAAAAGGTTCACCTCAAAGTTATTCCCACGTACAATATCTATTAACACTGAAGGACTGCCAAGTCAGAACAAAGTAATTTGGTGCATCAAAAAGTAACAATTAACATTTGACACTGTAATTCCAGTTATTAGTTGTATGAGCAAAATATTTACACCAAAACATGACAGACGCACATGCACTGACATTGTTTTTAATTAGAGTGTTTATGTTAAAAAAAACAAAAACAATCTCTTTCATTAGGTCACAAGCAGGGAAATTACTGCCTGAAACTGGATTAAATTTTAACTCTCAGTCCATTGTCCCCTCTAGAAGGATTGAAAAGCAAAGAAGGCGACAATTTAGAATTTATTAAGCACCTTTTGCAATCAAATTGCAAAGAGGGATTTACTTTTTGTTTGTTTTTCAAACAGGGAATCTCATTCTAAATTCTGAAATCAATTGATTTCAATTACAAATTTAAATACTTGCTTTCATTCCGCATGGAAAGCCCACCATTTAAAAAAAAAAAAAAAGAGTACATTTTTTGGGTTAAGAAGATTATGTCGTATATTTTTAAGGTATGCAACAGATTCTGTGGATTTTTAAAGCAACACAAACTGGCTGTGAACACAGTAGAACAAATCCTGCTACTGCTATGTGGACTAAATTTGGTTCAGTATTTGGCCCTTAAACTTAAGAGGTATTAAAATGAACTACTTAAATTCTTCTCTATTGGATCATTATCACTGCTCTTGAGAATCTTTACTGAACCCAATAGATCAGTGTTGTCCAAAGTTGGCCACTTTAAGATGAGTGGACTTCAACTCCCAGAATTCTGGGAGTTGAAGTCCACTCATCTTAAAGTGGCCAACTTTGGACAACACTGCAATAGATTATTCTATGCAAAACAAAATAGTCTTTATTATGACTGAGGGCAACTGATAATGAGCTGGTTACTGCAAGTAATTCTCCGCACTGTAGCAGGGTTTCTCAATCTTGGCTACTTGAAGATGTGTGGACTTCAACTTCCAGAATTCCTCAGCCAGCATAGCTGACTGGGGAATTCTGGGAATTGAAGTCCACACATCCTCAAGTTGCCAAGCTTGAGAAACACTACTGTAGAGCATTGTAGATATTTATTTATGCATGATTATTATTACAGTTTGGTGTAGTGGTTAAGGCATCAGGCTGGAAACTGGGAGACTGTGAGTTCTAGTCCCGCCTTAGGCACAAGGCCAGCTGGGCGACTTTGGGCCAGTCCTTCTCTCTCCGCCCTAGAAAGGAGGCAATGGCAAACCATTTTTGAGAATCTTGCCAAGAAAACTGCAGGGACTAGTCCAGGCAGTCTCCAGGAGTCAAAACTAACTTTAAGGCACGCACGCAAAATATTTAGATTTGTAGATCACCAAATCCAACAATTTTAGGCCGCATACAAAATTAAAGCAGCATTACAAAATGTAATATATTTAGCCTGACTTCACCAATATTC